AGATATGGGCTAAATGTATCGCTCAAGAAAACGAAGACTAAAATGTTTGGTTAAATAACTTCGCAGAGAAAAGCTCCTGAGAAACAATCACAAACTGAGAAGATGTCCTTAACTGAGAAAGCGCTACAGGAAATGTTATGAATTGAAAGAGGTCTTGAAAGATCACGATGTCCATATGAAAACAAGAAAGATAATGTTAGAGGCTTGTGTTCGGTCCACACTCCTGGTACCCTAGTAAGTTGGTGTCCGAATGAAAGCGAGATTAAAAATTTGGAAACATGTTGGTACAAAATGCTGAGACAGATGGCCAGATGGGGTTTGACAGAGTTAGAGAACTATCGACAAGAGAATGCTTCAAATTTGTATATTCTAATGCAAAAGGTGTAAAAATGGGCGGTTACGCCCCTTTCCCCTCAGTTTTTAAATATTCAAAAATCTGTATCTCGTTCACCGTTCCCCATTTTTTCGTCAAACAACTTTTTTATGTCTTAGAAAAATCAGTTCTACCACATATCAAAAAATGTTTTTCCTCCGGAGTCTGACTCGTATTTTAAGCATAGAAGTTAGGCAAGCCAAAGCCATTACAAAATCCAAAGAAAAGCTCAACCTCATTTTTACAATGCGAGAACTCTATCTTGTATTTCTAGTATCTTTGACTGAGGTAATAACGGCGTTCCATACGTGTACTCACTCAGGCGACTACTCAGGCTAAGCGCAGCTAGGCCTAGTCCTCTTGCTCTCTCGCTGGTGGAGAACGATTACGTAAGTTACATCCTCTAGGCCTAGCCAAGCCTCAGGGCCTAGGCTACTATTTTTTACAGTCGTTTTACTGTTTTTGAAAATATTTTTTTCATATGATTTTATTATCAATATGCCTAGGCATAGACCCAGGCCTAGCCTAGCCTAGTTATTAGGGCCTGGCTTGGCCTAGGTAGGCTTAGGCCTAGGCATAAACCGTAGCATAGAGGCTAGGCCTAGGCCTCGTTAGGCCTAGCTAGGCCTAGGCCTAGGCTGAGTACAAGGTTTACTACCTAGGCGGCCTCTGCTAAGGCCCTAGGCTAGTCGTCATTGTTATATACGCCATTGATTGCATCAGAACATCAGTACAGTAAAATAATTGTCATATTTTAATAATATATTGCTATAATATTAATAATAATTGCAATAATAATGATAATAAATAATATCATATTATATTATTAATAATAATAATAATAATAATAATAATAATAATAAATAATAATGATTATAATAATGTCGTCAAATATATTGATATTGTTGATCGTGCGTCTCTGGAGTGCCTTTTTTGTTTTAGTAGTGCTTCTTAGTTTTAACCTTGTAAATTGTTAAGTTTTCTTGTTTTTGGTCAACTTGACCTTACATTCGTTATTGAATTAATTGACAACAACAAAATAATGATGAGTGATGTTCCATCCAGCACTGTTGAACATCTGTAAAGTTAACTGACCCATAGGATCGGTTTCTGTATTTGTTACAGAATTGTCTTTGGATGTACTCTGAACATTTAATGTAGGGTTTTCTAGCCCAGACGTAGACAGACCTGTGACCTGCTGAGCAACCGCTAGCTGTATTTTTCCTCTTCAGTAGCACAATGAATCAAAATCTTGCAGATGCAAATGAAAAGTGAGTAGAGAAGTTTCTAATGAAATTTATTTTGTTCAATTTAACTTTATTATTATTATTATTATTATTATTACTATTATTATTATTATTATTGTTGTTGTCGTTTTTTCCCTTTTTTCATTTCTATGACAATTTAGCCTCATTTTACCGTATCCATAAACACTTTCATGTTTATAATTGGTTTTATGTAGGGCCATTGGAAATATGCCCTATGTTTTAATTCTTAAAGAAAACTTTCATAGACCATCACATCCTTGCATCATCTTTTTATTGTAAAATTTGTTTGCCCTGCTTTGTGTGATTTTTTCTGTTTTGTACAATATTTATTCTGAAAGTGTTGCCATTTTGGTTTTGGGCCTATTGCCGTTTTGCCGGGGGTGATTTTTTACATATTTTGAGTATATAAAGCTGTACATGCTGGATGCGCTGGCATTTTAGCAATTTTATACATTCTTTTATAAAATTATAAAATCTCACAAATTTTCTTTTTCTCTCCTTTTTTTCTGGTTGCTGGTGGTGTTTTTGTTATGTAGGGTGTATTTGGACTACAATGCAACTACTTTCCTAGAGCCAGAGGTCTTGCAAGCCATTCACAATGCATTGGATACAGCCTGGGGAAACCCAAGTAGTTCATATAAGGCAGGTTTGTACATGAACTAAATACTTACGCCAGGAAATCACTGGGCCTGATGTTCGTCGGCCAACACGATTCTATAGAGAATGCCATTTATATTGACGATCGGGTCAGACTGGCACAGGCCATATGAAGACAGACGGCGTTGTGCCTTCTAGCTCTCACAGGGAGCCGAGTCTTAACATCCGTGTCAATTCATCACATGCACACAACCTATATATCTCTTTAAAAAATTATCAATCATATTTTTAATAGTTTTTATGATGAACAAATAGAATATGATGAGCTAAAATGATATTGACAATAGTTATGAAATATTAAATTAATGATAAATCAATAATGACAAAAATTGATAAAAAATTTTAAAACTAAAAACTAAAAAATCTATTAAAAGTAGTTGAGGTGCGTATGGTACAATTGTATTTCTAGCTAGTCGAAGTTCTTTTTAAAAATGCGAACGGGCGTAATTTTGAAGTGTTAGCTCGAACTACGGCTAAAGTCACTTTTAGGAATACCAGGGTTAAGCTGTGTACACTATATTGGTGATGCGTACCTATTGAGGCTACAGCATGACAAGGTGTATGTTATGGCAGTCTGCTTTGACTGCTATGAAAATTAGAAGATGGTGTTGCATCGTCAAGCACTAGACCTTACATGCATTTGTCAGCTGAATGTTGATGATTTAGTGTGTGCTCAGCCTAACAGGTCTACGTTTTTCTTTAATAGGTAGAGATGCAAAGGACATTATAAACAGTGCAAGAAAAAATGTAGCAGAGATGATTGGATGTCAGTCAAGTGAAGACATAATATTCACATCTGGTGGAACAGAAGTAAGATACAGCTAATAGACACATTAGGCTACAGTAGGTTGGTCATGTGACTTTAAGTGGGTACCAATTGTAAACATGCAGCGAGAGTGATGCTCGGTATAGGAAAACTTGTGGCTTCTTTGGAGTGTTTGTGCTGTAAAGTACATACTGTATTTGATGTTGAATTACGTTGGTTAGTATACCAGTAACTATACCAGATTGATTGGAAATTGAGATTGAATGTTTTGCCATAATGCCCCAAACATTTAGATTTTTCTAGAAATGCTAGGCCTAGGCCCTGCAAGAGTCTTCGATCCGCAACTGCGGTTTTGACACGCTACGATTTCTAGCTTAGGTTTACGAAGGATGATTCACATAATTTCAAAAGCTGGCAAAGCACATTGAATGCTAGAATAAGTAAATAAACACTATTTTGAAGAATCATAGTGTCTGTCCTTGCCAGTTATTTATCATGTTAATGGTGGCCGAATGGTTTTGCAACCATAACATTACACTTTCCTATACTTTAACACTGATTTTCACTGAAAATTCTCCATAGAAATACCTATTATAATTTCTCATGACCGGCCTTAAACAAACGTTGTGGAATGTGTCTATTGCTTTTGTTGTCTGCTGCAGAGACATAGGCTGGCTTCATTCTGCGGAAGGGACTAAATAAAAGTATTGTGAAAGCGGTTAGTGGTTAAAATGCCTGCATTTAAATAGAAGTATCTGGGGTTCAAATCTCATCATCATCATCATCTCATCCTTATCATCATCCTCATCATCTTTTCATTTCATTTCATTTTATTCAGTATCAAAATGTGAAAACATCAAAGAATCATTATTGTCACCTCATTGCCATCCTCATCATGTACTACCATCATCATCATCATCATCTTCTTTCCATTCCATATGACTGAGAAAATACATTCAACTTTCAAGTCTTGTATAAGGATTCTAGTAAATAAATTGACATAACAGCATAAAATTCTCCTGACAATGACATTTTATTTCTAAGATTGTAGTGCCATCGAAAGAAAAAGTATATTTGTGGCATATTGTGTCAGATAACTAATATTATTGGGAATCATGATTTGAGGAATGCGTATTTTTTCAACTGTCGTAAATACAAATTTGTGACATTTTGGTTTCTTCTCATATCATCTTGATGCTATTTAATGGGATCAATTGTTTGTTTTCATCATTTGTAGGCAAACAATATGGTTTTTCACACAGCATTGAAGTATTTCAAAGAAGTTTACCCCTTGTTTGAAAATGGAACAACTCAATATTCAGATGTGGGCAGCAAGTGTAAAGCCCATGTGATCACATCCAACTTGGAGCATGATTCTGTAAAGTTGCCAATTGAACACTTTGTCAAAGAGGGAATTATGGGTAGGTAATACACCCCATACCTCCGGTATCATAAACTTTCTGCTTCTACCAAAGTACACAACAAGCAATAATATTATTTAATGAAACAGTACATCAGTGTGATGTATTTTTTTTTCAAGAAACCAAGAGAAGCAGTTATACTATACATGTAATTAAAAAAAGAGCTGATATTCAACCTGACAGGATACTGATGTTTAAATAGTGCCAAAATCACAATTTCTTACATTTCTACTTTACCAGTGGTGCCTATGGCTTCACAATTTTATTGAATAACAAAAAAATAACCAGTTATATTTTTCAAGAGTCACAATCCTACATAATGTGTTTCTGCTTGTTTTTTAATTGCAAAATCTAGCTGTATTGTTAAAGAACCATTCAAATGCCCGCTTAAAATCCCACAGTAAAAACCAGCCCTACAATGAATGGTACAGTATATTAGTGGCAAAGGCAAGGAGGAGCATTGATTTGTAACATGCGAATTATTATTTAATCTTTGACTAATACTTTTCAGTACATATAAATGTATGGTTTAATATCAGTTTTTTATTTTATGTTTGATAAAAATAAACAATGAATAACGTATAGCTAGAATTAGCCCCCTCTATTTCAAATTTTAGGATCCACCACTGAATTTGATCAGTGTTCACAATACACCACATAGATAGCTCAAATCTGTGTTGGCTATGTTGTAGATGCTACGTATGTTCCGGCCTCCAAGCTTACTGGTATGGTAAATGCTGATGATATCATTGCAGCTATTCGACCTACGACATGTTTAATATCCGTAATGATGGCCAATAATGAAACAGGCATTATACAGGTATTAATGTCAAGTATTCATTTACTAGTACTTTAGTAAATATTAGTTATATTGCTTTTTTAATGAATTGTAGTTGTAATAATAATATTCAGTAATCTTTATGTAATACATATAAAAATGGAAGTATTACAGAAAAATATAATTTAAGAATAGGAATTTTTTTCTATTCTTATAGTCTGACTTTTGATGTTTATGGTGTTGATTGAATTAATCAATCAAAATGTAAAAGCATTGCAGTTATTGACAAAGCATAGCATTATGAAGTGTGTATAAAGATTTTTGTTTGTTTGTTTGAAGCCCATTTCAGAAATCTCAAAGCGTGTTAAGCTAGTGAAAAGAGATGGGAAATTTGAAGTTAGGAGGATATTACTACACACTGATGCTGCACAAGCTATCGGCAAGATTCCAGTGAATGTGGAAGACCTAGGTGTGGATTACCTGACAATAGTTGGACATAAAGTAGGTTGATGATTCATAATTCATAATCTTAAACTCAAGTAAGATACTGATATGTAACAACAGGAACAGGTCCCTGTACACAGTACTTTAATCAAAATAATGTAACAAAAAAAAAAAAAAAAAAAAAAGGTCCCTGTACACAGTACTTTAATCAAAATAATGTAACAAAAAAAAAAAAAAAAAAAAAAGCAAGCGCAAAGTGAATAAGTTGAACTTAACAATCAATGTTTAAGAACAGAGTTTTTATCTATTGTGCAGTTCCAATGGCATTAGAAAGCTTTTTTTGCACAACGAATGTGATATTGTGGAATGATGTTTTCAAAAATCATCTATACAATGAAATTGGGTTTTCGTTGTTCGGAAATGTAGGACATGGTATGGGCTGAATTTACTTAAATGCAAGATGGTCACAGCAAAGTGCATTAGGGTCCTGTGGTCTCATTAACGTGATCAAAATCTTCTTTTCAGTTGTTCTCTCTTGCTACTTTTTCTCTCCTTCCATGAAAAGAAAAAAACATGCAAGTGCATTTTGCATTTGTTGGTGGATTGCTGTATATTGATTTGTTGATTGGTCAGCTGGTCAACTATCTTGGTTTGTCAGCATGGTCAGCCAGTGTGCTATTCCATGAATCCAATGAAGGAATAATACTATAAATTTTTTCATGTCCTAAAACTAATTATCTGTACATATATGATTGTCTTAAAAACATATTTTTCTGTTTTTTTTTTTAAATTTCCAAGACATTTATTTTTTTTCATATCTTTTCTTTATAATTGAATTTATCATGTTTTTATAAAAATAATGATAATGGTATTCCAAAAGTGTCAATAGATTTATTATGAATGATGTTTTGCCATACCTCACATGTTATCATTTTAGCTATCAGTACGAGAACATGTTGATTAAGGCTTATGATATTGGTAATTAACTTTACTAACTTGTTTGCATGTTGGTTTTATTATTACCGTACTCGTACGAATAAGCGCCCTGTTTGAATAAGCACCCCTCTCGAATAAGCGAAAGTGAAAATTTCCATAAGCGGCCCCTTCTAATTTGAATAAATGCCCCTCAATAATCAATATGTGTGGAGTGGAATCACATTCCCCTTTATAGTCAATATCAAAATGAGGATATTTATCTTGGACAGATGAGAGCTCCCTGGACAGACAGTAAATTTCCAACTTTCATCTTCTTACATTTGTGTATAGCCTAGTCATTCTCCTTTTCCGACAATTTGCACCATTAACATTTGAAAACCTGCAATGATCATGTCCTCGTTCTAATCTCAATCGGCCGATGGCCAACAAGCTAACCACCACTACTAATTTCATCTGCTATTCTGCTGTTATGTAATATTGTACTCATAACATTCTTGTCATGACAAGCCATGTTCTCTGGACGATTATTTTTTCCACTGCACCACCATTCGTAATTTGCCGTTTCCTGATGTCCTTATATAACCGTTTTTCATTCAAAATGTGCCTCTTGAATTCAATACGTTCTCATAAGAACCCCTCGATTTTCATCTATTTCCATAAGTGCCCCCTCAATTTCCACTCTGTTTTCATAAGCGCCTCGTTCAAATAAGCACCCCGTTTGAATAAGCGCCTCTAAAAAAGTGCAAAAAATATTTTAAGCGCCCGGGCACTTATTTGTGCGAGTACGGTATATTTCCATAGCAAAGTTACTTTTATGTGATTTATTATTCCATATAATATATATTTAATCTCTATTTAAACAGTTTTATGGTCCAAGAATTGGGGCTTTGTATGTAAGAGAACCAATCAAAACCACCCCTGTGCATCCAATGTTGTTTGGTGGTGGTCAAGAGAGAAACTTGAGGCCAGGGTAAGATGTAAATATTATATTTGAAAACCTGAAGTCAAGTCTTATTTTTAAAACAACTTATTTTCTTATTTGTACTTGTTTTAAGTGGTAATGCTGTTTTGAAAATTTTCATATTTTTTAAAGATATACTGTACAATAAATGTTCTAAATTTTCTGAAAAATTTTATTTTTCCTTTTTGCCGATTAGATAATAAATTGCAACAATAAATATTTTGTTATTGATTTCTGATAACAGCCAAACATTTTCCATTATAAATGCTGTATTATTAATTATTATTAATGGAGGTAAGTGGTTGGCTGAGAGATATTGTTCCTGTTTTTGTTCTAAAGGCGTCAGGCCACTTATTGCTTATAGCCTCTCTCGAATAACCCTCATTTTGAGAGTTTGATGGGTTAGGAACAATGTAGGTATTCATAAAAAAAAAATAAAAATAAAACAAACTACTCGTATATTACAAGGTCGCAAAAAATAAACTAAAGATTGTAAATGTAAAACGACAGACACATGTTATGTTCCCAGGACTGAAAATACAGGAATGATTGCAGGACTTGGGAAGGTATGTAAACAATTTGAAAAAAAAATTATTATAGGTAGAAGGAAAAGCCTTGACATCTTTGATACAAACATTACAAATAATTTTATGTAGGCCTACATGTGATGGAGCAGGTTTTGTTCCTTGATGGGTTTAATGGGAAAACTGTCTATAGGCTATGATGGATCTCACAATACAGCATTTTAAAATTACGAAAATTACAATTTTTATTCACACACAAAGGCAACATGATTGACATGCTAAGAGTGTACGCACACCCAAAAAAAAAAAAAAAAATTACATAAATATTTTCTTTTATCAGTATTTCCACAATTATATCAGTATTCTTTTTTTTTTTTGCAGGCTGCAGAATTAGTTGTAAAACATCTATCATCATATCAGACTCATATGAGAGAAATTCGAGATTACCTGGAAACTAGCCTAGAAGTAAGTTATATATCTAAATATCAATTATAGTATCACATAAATGGAGATTTTTACTACTGTACCTTTCAAAATTGTGATAGATAAGTATTTAATTTTTAGTGGATATTATGTGCTCATATCAGAGTCATATGAGAGAAATTCAAGATTACCTAGGAAACTAGCCTAGAAGTTATATATCTAAATATCAATTATAGTACAGTATCACATAAATGGAGCTTTTTACTACCTTTCAAATTCTAATAGGTATTTAATTTTTAGTGGATATTATTATTAGGTGCTCTATAAATATTTTTGATTGATTGATTAATGCAAAGAATGTAGTAGTAGGCAGAGAATGTGCCAAACTTAATCACTTATGTCAGTCCTTCACAACACAGACATGCACACACACTAACAAGATACTGTATATAAAGCCTGATTTTAGGTCTCATTGTAAGGATTAGGGCGAGTGGAGTTGTTTTTTGGACTTGAGAAAAAAATCCTGTTACCTTAACAAGAATTGAATCCAGGATGCTGGGATTCAAAGACATGTCTTAACCACCAAGCTATTCAACTCCACTCATGTTACACTTAAGCCTGAAATTCAGCTTTGTTTGCAGACATATCGTGTAGAAATATAACAATTTAAATTTAAATTTAATTTTCCAAAATAAAAAAGACGGGGATTACCATGCCAAAATCAGCATCAGTGATCGAAACAAGAAAATTTACTTTTTATCATATTCATATTCTTTCATATTATAAGCTGTAAATGATTGGTCGTTTTCTTTAATCAACTTACTTTGCTAAACTTATGAGTAAAATGTAGTAAAAGTATTCAATACTGCCACATACTCAGTTTAACCTTAAGCAAACAGTATTCTGGTTTTGGAATGGCAAGCCTCATAATAATAATACTCAAACATTTATAAGGCGGCAATTCCAAATTGAATGATCAAAGGCGCGAGCGTTATTACCCCTTGTCAGTACTGGATAACGTACAATGGTAAACCATTGCAAAGTGCAACTTTCTTATACTCCCTGGGGAGTATCCCTAGTTGTTCGCTACTTATTTAGCGCACGAAACTATGAACATTCAATGCCACAACATCCTAGTAGGTACCCATTTATACTCCTAGGTAGAGAGAGACAAACGTACAAAAAGTGCCTTGCCCAAGGACACACACGACTTGCACAGCGAGAGTTTCCAACCCCTGACCTCAAGGTTGGGAGTCTAAGCCACAATCGATGTGCCAACCACTTCTACAAAGTGGTTTTAGGATTGAGGGATTGATATTTTCTTGATTCCTTTGGTAGGTAGCAATAATTCTTTGATAACCAGATGAAAAGAGCTCCTTTATTTTCATAGAATGCATTTAGAGGTCGAATTCACTTTAATGGCCGATTCACTGAGAGTCAAAGAATACCAAACACATGTAACGTTTCAATAGAGGGACCAGGATTGCAAGGTACGGTGCCGTTAAATATCCTTCACCATCGTCAAAATGTAAATTGGTTTTAAAAAGTGGCACACAGCTAATCTAGATTGGTAGTATGAATAAATCACCAGTGCCAAAAGTAGGCAAAACATTTAGCCAGACGTTTTGCCAACAACTAAAACATTTTTTATCCGCTAAATTTCATTAGCATGCATCCAAATTTTGTGATGGCCGTCATAACAATTGATCAATATCAACATGTATACATGGTGTATAGATTGTACGTTGTGCATTTGTTTCCTAGGATATAAGATTCTAGAAGCTGTAAAGCACTTTGTGGCAAGTGTTGGAGCAGCATGTCATTCTGATCACCGGTGCGAGTAAGTAAATCATTTTCCTATTTCAAACTTACAGTAATTGGTACAGTACTTTTAATAGACACTTCCAGTATAATTTAAAACATAAAAGTGGCATAACTATGTTATTCATGGAGTAATTTTCATGAAGAGTAGAGAACAATTAGATGAGGTATGTGTGAAAAAAACAGAGGATTATTAGAATTTGCATCTATCTGATAAAGTTGAAGTATATGTGAGTGGAGCCTCTTAAATTAAGCTACTGTACACAATCCCTAATGAACACACCTGGTATAAAGCTTTACATAAACCCAACTACTGTACATTACCTAACACAGCATAACAATTCATACATTTACAACCAAGTTTGGTCTTTAGTTTGTATATGCAAGGTCGTGCATTCAATTGATCACACACCTTTTTCTTGCCGTCGGAAATTGGGCATGACTGATCATTCTTCATAAGATCGAGTTTTCCATGTCTGCTGGTTTTGAGCAAGGTGATTTGGTTTGCTCAAGCTTTGGCCAGTCAAATCTTGTAGCCCATAAGTCAGTCAAAGCGTAGACTACATTAGCTCATTCGGTTACTTTCTTGCCCTCAAAATGTCTATTTGTGTCTAAGCTGCACGGTAAACTAGTACCATGCTACTGTCGTCTGTAACAAGGAAAGTTATTGACATTCTGAGTGTTACCCATTTTATTTCCTGAGCTAAGAGAGACAGTCAAAGATAATGTGCCTTTTCTGACACAAGCAATGGGAGTGGGAGTTGTTCTTGGTGGCTTGTTTGCCTTCCAACCCTAACATTTCTAGTTTGAATTCTACTCAAGTGACTGGATTTTTTCTCAACCAAATACAAAAAAAAAATTCTTAAGCCTCCATGTTTGACTTTATGAAACTGATTAAAAAGATTGCCACCTTGGACAGTAGTTAGTTCGTATCGGCAATCTTTGGGCCCTGTGCCTAATTTTAAATTTTTATTGATAAAATCTAAATATGTTATTAAAATTTTATTGCTTTTAATTTACTTTGACCAGACTTGGACATGAAGTTCAATACTTTATTTTCAAAACCTGAAAACATATTTCTTGCTTAATAATATATTTTTTATGCCATTTTGTAATTAAATTAATGATATTAACTCAAAATAATACGCTCACAATTTTAGCAAATGTACATCCTAAATACCCATGAATGCACTACTCATTCTAAGATATCACGGAGTTGACATCGTGGAAGATTAAGAGTCGTATGAGGTTTGTTGAATTATTAACTTTTGTGTTTTATTCTAGGCCTTCTCATATACTCATAGCTATCGGTACACCGTGGGATGTAGCCTCAAACGCTTTGAGACTCAGTACTGGAAGACATACCACTAAGCGCAATATTGATCTTGTAATACAGGATTTAAAGCAGGCTGTTGCTATTCTTGAAGGTAAAATTATTTTCATTTTGTAATGTTGTCATTAATAATTCTATTTGTATATATTACCATTACCATAACCTAATACTCTAATGCATTTATACCATACCTGTATATCAAATTATATAAATTTTTCCACTGGAAATATACAAAAAAAAAAAAAAACAAAAACAAAAATTGTTTTCTTAGTACATGAAGTATGTACTCTATTTCATGTTACCACATTATTACTATTACTGCTAATTTACTATTAATGAAGCATTTTGTTTTACTTCTTTTTTTTTTAGGATGTTGAAACCAATAGGCATGTACAGTAGTTGCCTTTTTTTCTTTGCCTGTTTATCTAAAATTATATTTGTTTTCATTGTAAAATGTAAAAAAAAAAATGTTTTGTTTTAGATAATAAAGTAGAGTATGAAACAAAATAAAGTAATTGCAAAGAGATAATATAACTTGATACAGACCATGTGTTAATTAATTTTGTGCTTTGTACAGTACTCGCACTATTATAGAAACCATGAACTTCAACTATTTTAATGTCTTTTCTTTTTTTTACAGGCAAAATCTGAAAATTTAGAAGATTATAAATAAATTGCTGATTGTGATGATTGTTAAAGACCATGCAGAGAGTGCCAGATGGGGTAGGCGGATTTGAATCACACTTGGCAGTTGAGCTAGTATGGTCACTACAGGAATGACAAAAAAAATGACCTTTACCATTTAAAAGTTACAAGATTCTTTTATGCAATATTTGATGTAATAATTTTTCTAAATTAGTATATTATCTCATCCTTTTGATTAGAAAATAATGTGATTCCCTTTTTATAAGTTACATATTTTTTTAGGTAAAATGGTAATTCTGTATGTTAACATAATTATTATCTTTTTATGTAATCAAAAAAATTGATTCATTTTATGTGCAGTTGTTATGGTTCTTTTTTTTAATGTAATTCTATTGTTAGATTTCTGTATATCAATTTATGTAAGTGTGTTAGGGTGGTTTATGTTCAACAGTTGATGCAGTTCAGTGATTTTATACAACTATGTCATATGTTTTAATAAACGAGAAATGAGTGAATGAATGCTTGAAGAATACTCGGGCTCAGTTTTCCTAAAATTTGCTAAAAGTGATATGTACACTGTAAAATGTAGGGCTAAAAATGAATGAGTTCACAAAACATCAAGCCATTTTGATAAAACTTAAGGAAGGTTTCTTATTCATTTCGAAATGTATGACTGTTTTTTTTTGGTAAAATCATAGTCTGCAAAAATCTACTTTATTTATTTACTTTCTTTTCAATGTTGCTTTAATAAGCATGTTTTATCATCGTGTACCTTCCGAACTCCTTTTTTAAACAGACTTTAGCAGTTAAAATCAATGTGTTTTTTTTTTAATCTACCAGAAATATTTTCGAATGCATGGTAAATTTTATCTTTGCTTAAATTTGTTAAAATTAATGTGTATTTTACATTATTTTAGTATCAACTTTTTAAAATGGTGTAAACATAAATGAAATATATTTCTCTCTATTAAAAAACCGGAGTTTTGATATGTTATTTTAAACTTGACAGGAAACAACAAGTCGAGTAAATCGGTAAATATAATCCCTCTCTCTAATCGAAATACCGAGTTAAAAAAAGCCAGGCAATCTGAAATAAACATGAAAAGTTTTTTATTTATTTGAGTTCAGGATGTGAAATTCTATAAATCAAACTTGTGTTACTTGTTCCATTCAATTATGCAAATTAGATAAAATAGCAAATTGTGTATGAAAATATTTTTGTCTTAAATCTGTATACAGTATATGTAAGTGTCTGTCAACTTATTCATTTAACATCTTTAGAAAGTCCATTCTTGATCAAAGCGTAGTCTTGAAACATGTTTTATATGTTTCAAGCCATAAGAACATTTTATAAACATGTTTATATATTGGAATGGGTTTCATAAGAAAGCGTGTTCGTCATTGGTCAGATTGCCAATCGCCTCTATATTTCATATTGTGTATATCAACCAATCACAGCCTAGAATGGTAAGCTTTATGGCTATTAATGCGTCTGCAATGAGTGTAGGCCTAGGCTAGTTAGTAGTGATATGTACAGCCGTTTCGTGGTGCTTCCAAGGCTAGGTGGTACAGTCAGAGAGGCAGCTTAGCTAGGCCTCCGACGAAGATGAATCACAGGCTGGCTGGGTAATACGTATAGTATCAGATATTACAGAAAATGTAAGCTATCTTTTATCAGGGAGTTCTTTTATAGATTCAAACAATATGGAGTTCTTCGTGGTTTTTTTTTTTCCTTCATTTGCCTTCGCTGCTATAGATGCAAATTTCTGGAGCGAGACCGTGCTGTAGTGTTCTACTATTGGATGGATGAAATGCACACACCATAAACCTACATAGTGAACTGTTACTAAACAGTCTACAAATAGAAATCAAATAGCAGTCAGATTTTTTAATGCAATAACATTCCTGTGGGTTTTTTTTTTTCCAGTTCAAAAGTGCGTATGCCAAATATTTAAGAAGGTGATTGAATTAAGTGTCCATTCGAAATAGATAATATTTCTTTAAATTGCGTGCGAACCCATAGGAAAAGCTACTCTATTGGAAAACTGTGCCCGAATTTACAAATTAACAAAATCAAACTGGGTTCTACCCAGGGGCGGATTTAGGGGGGGGGGGCGGCCCGGCCCCGGCCCCCCTCCTTTTGGGAGGTAAAAAAAAAGAAAAAAGAAAGAAAAAAAGGAAGGAAAAGAAAAAAATGATAGCCCAGAACGCCTCAAATGTTATTTTCGGGCGTCTAGAACACCAAAATTTCGCGGGGGACCCCCTAGGGCATTGTTGTTTCGATCGGCCCAAATTTCGGAACACCCCCCCCCCCTTTTTGGACATCTGGATCCGCCCCTGCTACCATGGTTCTACCATTCCTCAATGGTTCTACTAATACGATCGGTATTTCGTGGAATTTGTTGTTAATTACAAGCAAGTAATATAAATCATATCGTTGCATTGTGTTGTTGGTCCTAAAACACACAAACCAATTCACTCAGTTTTTTGTATTAATGCCTTTACTTTGTCAATAATGGAAATAAACTGCTTGAAAGTTGCCAGTACTGCAAGTTGCCTTATAACAGTGAATCAGTAAGAAACGTGTTCCCCACACAAGTAGGTTCCCATGATACTCTATTGGGAGAAGCAGACACGAGGCCAGTCATTCACTCACGTCACATTCAGGAATGTAGACCCGTTATTATTCCTGATTGGCTTGTTTGGTACATGCAGGTATAACAATTGTATACCTACCTGCGGTACAATCAGGAAAGCGTTGCTCAATATTCTTAGCGATATTATACCTCAATGACAACATTACTCTGAAAAAATTGGTTATTTCTTTGTTTGTATAATATAGGTGAAATGTTATACAGATAATCAATGTTCATTTAAAAGATAATGTGGCCTCCAATATAGCTGCTAAAATGGTTGGGCAATGTATTACGAAGTCAATGTTTTGTATTGAGAAAATATACACTGTTTATACTATAGGCCTATTATATTTAGAGGTTCATTTGATTTTATATGATTTTTAGTTAATAAATTATACAAAATATTGATTTTCATTGACAATCTAATACGGCCGTCAATACAGCCGCCAACTGTATTGAGAATTCATCTTTTTTCTGTATTGAGAACATAAAAACTGCTTATATACATTTAGAGATTCATTTGATTGTATATGTTAAATAATTGATTTTCATTCAAAATCCAAGATGGCTGCCAATATGGCCGTCCAATGTAAATGCGAGGTCAATGTTTTGTATTAAGAACTTAAACACTGCTTACTATATACATTTAAAGGTTAATTTTATTTTATACGATTTTCAGTTAACAAATTATGCAAATAATTGATTTTTATTAAAAATCCAAGATGGCCGCTAAATGACCACATGGTACAATTTTTTCCGATGGGAACATCAAAATTCGTTCATCAGATACTTTGAGGTTTACAAAAAAATGTTAAAAAATATGTCCTGGGGTGCATTGGACTCTCCCCCCCCCCCTGTTCCTGCTAGACTGTACGTATGCCCTAATATCTAAAATCATAAACGGGACGCCCCCCCCCCCCCTGTTCCTGCTAGACTGTACGTATGCCCTAATATCTAAAATCATAAACGGGGGGGGGGGGGAGGAAACAAACAAACACACTGTTCTATACTGAATATTAAGGGAGTTAGGGCTATAGTAACATTTAACCATCTAAGATTTCCACAAATGCTAGTGGTTAAATTTGACTTTTGGTGGTGCAACTGTATGCCCCAACATTCCAAACCATAGACTAAAACAAATTGTTCTATATGCAATATTAAAAGTTATGGTCAATATTTCAACTTGGCGCTTTGTTGGCGGCCATCTAGCATTTTGGCGACCACTAGTGGCTGAATATATATTTTTTAGTGGTGCAACTGCATGCCCCTAATGTCTCAAATTATAGACTAAAAACTCTGTTCTATATGGAATATTAAGGGAGTTATGGGTTATGGTCAATATTATTGGATATCTGAAACCGCTAGTGGATGAAATTCATTTTATATATATATATATATATATCTGTCTCTTATACA